GAATCCAGCGAACCACAGTGAGAGCCATTATCCACAAATGGCGAAGACATGGAACAGTGGTGAACCTTTCCGAGGAGTGGTTGCCGCCCAAAATTACCCCAAGAGCGCAGCGACGACTCATCCAAGAGGTCACAAAAGACCCCACAACAACGTCCAAAGAACTGCAGGCCTCACTTGCCTCAGTTAAGGTCAGCGTTCATGCCTCCACCATCAGGAAAAGACTGGGCAAAAATGGCCTGCATGGCAGAGTTCCAAGGAGAAAACCACTGCTGAGCAAAAGAACATCAAAGCTCGTCTCAATTTCTCCACAACACATCTTGATGATCCCCAAGACTTTTGGGACAACATTCTGTGGACCGATGAGACAAAAGTGGAACTCTTTGGAAGGTGTGTGTCCAAGTATATTCGCGTAGAAGGAACACTGCATTTCATAAAAAGAACATTATACCAACAGTAAAATATGGTGGTGGTAGTGTGATGGTCTGGGGGCGTTTTGCTGCTTCAGGACCTGGAAGACTTGCCGTGATAAAAGGGAACTGTGAATTCTGCTGTCTACCAAGAGATCCTGAAGGAGAATGTCCGACCATCTGTTCGTATTCTCAAGCTGAAACGAACTTGGGTTCTGCAGCAGGACAATGATCCTAAACACACCAGCAAGTCCACCACCGAATGGCTGAAGAAAAACGAAATGAAGACTTTGGAGTGGCCTAGCCAAAGTCCTGACCTGAATCCTATTGAGATGTTGTGGTATGACCTTAAAAAGGCCGTTCATGCTCGAAAACCCTCTAATGTAACTGAATTAGGACAATTCTGCAAAGATGAGTGGGCCAAAATTCCTCCAGGACGCTGTAAAAGCCTCATTGCACGTTATCGCAAACGCTTGGTTGCAGTTGTTGCTGCTAAGGGTGGCCCAACCAGTTATTAGGTTTAGGGGGCAATCACTTTTTCACACAGGGCCATGATGGTTTGGATTTTTTTCACCTTTAATAATAAACACCTTCATTTACAAATTGCATTTTGTGTTTACTTGTGTTGTCCTTGACTATTGTTTAAATTGGTTTGATGTTCCGAAACACTTAAGTATGACAAACATGCAAAGGAACAGGAAATGAGGAAGGGGGCAAACACTTTTTCACACCACTGTATGTATCTATCTATCTATCTATCTATCTATCTATCTATCTATCTATCTATCTATCTATCTATCTGTCTGTCTGTCTGTCTGTCTGTCTGTCTGTCTGTCTGTCTGTCTGGTGTTCAAATCCTGACGATGCCGCTATGCATGGCTGGGAGTCCAAGAGCGCAAAATTGGTGTTCTCTGGGCCAATTGTAGGTGTCTGTGAACTGCCGAAGAAGGTGGATAGCGCTTTCCTCAGAGTTCCTCTGCCCTGTGAAACAGCATGAGTTCAGCAGTTCGAAAAGATGCACTTGGCTTGGTAGCACATGATAACTTTCACTTTGCTTGTTTGGTTGAAGTTGTACAGTGAGGGAAAGAAGTATTTGATCCCCTGCTGATTTTGTACGTTTGCCCACTGACAAAGAAATGATCAGTCTATAATTTTAATGGTAGATTTATTTGAACTGTGAGAGACAGAATAGCAAAAAAAAATCCAGAAAAATGCATGTCAAAAATGTTATAAATTGATTTGCATTTTAATAAGGGAAATATATATATTTGACCCCTCTGCAAAACATGACTTAGTACTTGGTAGAAAAACCCTTGTTGGCAATCACAGAGGTCAGACGTTTCTTGTAGTTGGCCACCAGGTTTGCACACACCTCAGGAGGGATTTTGTCCCACTCCTCTTTGCAGATATTCTCCAAGTCATTAAGGTTTTGAGGCTGATGTTTGGCAACTCGAACCTTCAGCTCCCTCCACAAATTTTCTATGGGATTAAGGTCTGGAGACTGGTTAGGCCATTCCAGGACCTTAATGTGCTTCTTCTTGAGCCACTCCTTTGTTGCCTTGGCCGTGTGTTTTGGGTCATTGTCACGCTGGAATACCTATCCACGAGCCATTTTCAATGCCCTGGCTGAGGGAAGGAGGTTCTCACCCAAGATTAATTATAGACTGATCATTACCTTGTCAGTGGGCAAACATACAAAATAAGCAGGGGATCAAATACTCCATGTTTGATGGTGGGGTTGGTGTTCTTGGGGTCATAGGCAGCATTGCTCCTCCTCCAAACACGGCGAGTTGAGTTGATGCCAAAGAGGTCCATTTTGGTCTCATCTGACCACAACACTTTCATCCAGTTGTCCTCTGAATCATTCAGATGTTCATTGGCAAACTTCAGACGTGCATGTATATGTGCTTTCTTGAGCAGGGGGACCTTGCGGGCGCTGCAGGATTTCAGTCCTTCACGGCGTAGTGTGTTACCAGCTGCCTTTAGATCATTGCCAAGATCTTCCCATGTAGTTCTGGGCTGATTCCTCACTGTTCTCATGATTGTTGCAACTCCACGAGGTGAGATTTTGCATGGAGCCCCAGGCCGAGGGAGATTGACGGTTCTTTTGTGTTTCTTCCATTTGCGAATAATTGCACCAACTGTTATCACCTTCTCACCAAGCTGTTTGGCATTGGTCTTGTACCCAATTCCAGACCTGTGTAGGTCTACAATCTTGTCTCTGACATCCTTGGAGAGCTCTTTGGTCTTGGTCGTGGTGGAGAATTTGGAATCTGATTGATTGATTGCTTCTGTGGATTGCTTCTTTTATACAGGTAACAGCTGAGATTAGGAGCACTCCCTTTAAGAGTGTGCTCCTAATCTCAGCTCGTTACCTGTATACAAGACACCTGGGAGCCAGAAATCTTTCTGATTGAGAGGGGGTCAAATACTTATTTCCCTCATTAAAATGCAAATCAATTTATAACATTTTTGACATGCATTTTTCTGGATTTTCTTGTTGTTATTCTGTCTCTCACTGTTCAAATAAACCTACCATTAAAATTATAGACGGATCATTTCTTTGTCAGTGGACAAATGTACAAAATCAGCAGGGGATCAAAATACTTCTTTCCCTCACTGTATGAGAGGAGAGACCTAACTGGTAGGTTGGACTAAATTAGGGAGAAAAAGATGGGGGTTGTTATAAAATATTTTTTTTTAAAACCTGGGCTACGCAGGCATGTGGAAACACTGACTAACCAAGCAAGTGCAGCACAAAGCTATATAACTCTGTGTCTTAATGTACGTAGTCTTTTACACATAAACATATCAAGAGAAAATCAAGTAACTAACCAGACTCAAATAATATGATGAGAGGACAGAAAACCAAATCTGAATAAACTACATTCATGAGCTGACGTCTATGTTACTACAGGATTAATATTATTATTTATATTTGAAAGCAAAATCAACAAGTATATGCTTAAAAAAATTTTCAATGACAGAATTCATTTATGTTTCTTGTTTGGTTGATTCATTTTGGTAAACTGCAAAGACCAAAGGGGAAATGATTGAGGAGGTTACAATCAAAATGTTAACTCAGCATGCAAAGAAAATGACCCATGCACAGCCAAATTAGTCAAGGTGCAGCTCCTGAATCTCTTTACTGGAACCAGCTTTTTTTTTTAGCTGGACTTGGGTAGGAAACTTATCAGAAGCATCAAGAAAATATTTACTCTGCCATTTATTTTAAGCACAAATGTTTCAAACACTGTACACATTGAAGTAGGTGTCAGACCAGAAATATTTTAATGAATGCAGACCAGAAAGTGAACAGAACTGAATATTCAGCTTTGACAGAGCCATAAATAAGCCTTTAACTATTGCCTAGTCACTATGGCAACAATAAAAGAGTGCAGTGCTGGTTCACGATTCTGAATGATGCAAGGTTTGGAGTTCAGAGGTGGAGTCACGAGCCAAAAAAACTCAACTATATATGGATATGGTGTGTGTGTGTGTGTGTGTGTGTGTGTGTGTGTGTGTGTGTGATTGAGAGCGGCGGGAGTGAAGAGAGTGTAAACAACTCTCCTCTTGTAATAAAAATAATGAAGGGACATTGATGAGTGAAAAAGTGGAATGATAGTAAATAGGGGTTTCTATCGACCCTCTGGCATCATTTGTGAGCGACTCATTCATTCAGTTCACACACACACACACACACACAAAATAATAAAATCCTTCCTACAACCATTCTGGGATTTTTAAGGCATTCACTTCACAGCTGATGGTACACAAACTTTCATCTATAGTCATTTTAAGAGCAACAACAAAAAAAGGTTTCTGTACACTTATTATAGACAACAGATCTTTAGTGTATTTCCTACACATACTCTCCTACCCAAAATACATTCTAGTGTCACTATTTGTCCAAGTAAAGCAGAGTATTGGAACCTTTAAAAATAGCTGCAGCAAAAAGAAAAAAGAAAATATATATATATATTTTTCACATGTTGCATATATATGCACTATAATACAATGAAAGGATTTTGGGAGAATACTATACTAAGTCCTAAATAGGAAGCACTACAGGCACTGTAACAGGTCATCAGAATGACCTCAGAATGTGTTGCATTCAAATGAGGTCACGTTCACTGTATTGACGAGAGGATTCCACATGAACAAGTCACTCTTGTAGTATTCACGTCGGACTGTTCAACTGCAGTTGTGTTCACTTCTGTTTTCAATATGATGGCCATGAAAGTTGTTTTAATTGTGGTATTATTTTAATCACACAGCATGTGATGATTAGCAAATCATAATATTCTTGACAATGTATTTTTTCACTGTCATTCTGCCTAAAGATATACTAGCTAGCTAAATTGTGTGCCTCGATCATTAACTAGTGTATGCTTTGCATCTTTTAGCAAGTATTCTCACAAAATTAAACACTTGAACGGTGACCATGTTGTGTATTTATCTTACCATGCTGAAAGCACAAATTCGCAAGCGCTATCTGATTGCAATATTACAAAGATATGTAATGAATTTTTATTGTAGTAGTGATAAAAGAATGTCTGAAAGTTGGTCATTGAATATCAGATGAGGTAATGCATGTTTCTGGTGTTAGTGGTTAGCATGTTCGCCTCACACCTCCAGGGTCCGGGGTTCGATTCCCGCCGGGGCCAGAGCTTGCATGTTCTCCCCGTGCTGCGGGGGTTTCCTCTGGGTACTCCGGTTTCCTCCCCCAGTCCAAAGACATGCATGGTAGGTTGATTGGCAGCTTGGTAAATTATCTGTAGTGTATGAATGGGGTGTGAGTGTGTATGTGATTGTACCCTGCAATGGATTGGCACCCTGTCCAGGGTGTACCCCGCCTTGTGCCTGATGATTCCTGGGATAGGCTCCAGGTTCCCTGTGACCCTGAAGCAGAAATAAGCGGTTGAGGATGGATGGATGGTAATGCATGTTTCTTCTTTTCTCCAGTCTTTACATGAAAAACAAATATACCACGGTGCATGGTGATCCTTTCTGATTTGTAGTATCTGCAGTATTCCTGGTATGACTATTATCCCCTTCATAATGTCCCTTTCCTTCTCCTATTATTTTCATTATTTGAATTATTATTTGCATTATAGAGATGTATCTTAAGAAAATGATGCTGTACATCGTAGACACACTGTCTGCATTTCAACTTTCCTTTGTTTGTCATAGCCTATGATTATGGAAATTGATTAGCATACTATTTTTAAGCTAGCACAATAAAAAATGCCAGCCACAACCTTGTCTCAAAACTAGAATATTTTCGGAGTAAAAATCACAACCCTGTCAACCCTGGCATGGACACAAACACAACACACATTCAACTTTTTAAAAACTCCATTACAGTACTATTATACATAATGGCACTTGACTGTATAAGAGAGTGTGTCAATGAGAAATCAGTCTGTATAAATTCTATTGATTTAGTGTACATTCCTAATACAAATATTGAAGAGTTTGGAGTTGTTAATGGAAGTTGAGTGAGGCCTGACAGCACACTGTTGTCATGTGGGCTAAATGTCAGGCTTTAATGCACTGGCTAACTGACAGCTGTGGCCTTTCAGCTCAATACCAGCAGTGCCAGCATACTGTAACTCTCCAGTTTCAAGACTGCTGTGCATGTTTGTGTTTGCATGTGTGGTTTATAGAGAGAGAGAGAGAGAGAGAGAGAGAGAGAGAGAGAGAGAGAGAGAGAGAGAGAGAATCATTGTATTTATGTTTAAACATATAAAATGTTTAAGCAATATAAAACTTGCTATTTGCAAGAAATGATTCCTAAGATGAAAGAAAGGACAGAATTGACAGAATGACAATTTTTATTTATTAAAGAACGAAACAACTGACTTTATTCATTTATAGTTAAATTTAATGTCCTAGAACATCCATGGCACAAGCTAGTTTCTCTAATCACTTGCATTACAACAGCTATAAACTGACAATCTCTTACCATTTTCTGTTTTTTCTCTCTCTTGAAGCTAATAAGATAATATTTATATAACAACACATTATAGTTAATTTTTGGAATTAGATTATGTGGAGTGTCTGCCAAACTGCCAAAGTCCCACTGCATTAGTTATTACTATATAAACAATGACTAGAAAACGAGCATGTGATGACTAAAAACAAGGAACTACAATAAATCTTCACTTTAACACAATCGATTAAGACCTGGAATACTGGGAAAACACAGGTGAGGTAAATAGCATGAAACAAAAAATAAATAAGAACACACCATGACCAAGAAAATAAACTCTCTCTCTCTCTCTCTCTCTCTCTCTCTCTCTCTCTCTCTCTCTATATATATATATATATATATATATATATATATATATATATATATATATATATATATATATATATATATATATATATATATACACACACACACACACACACACACAGTTTGATTTACAAGAGACTTTTGACACACCAAAAGTGTTTGACCCGATGGCAACAGGTCAGTAACACAATTAGGTATTAGAAGAGTATCTTAGAGAGGCAAAATCTCTCAGAAGTAAAGATGGGATAGAATGTAGATGGATGCACATGTTGCTCTAAAACCTGTATATACCTTTCAGCATTGATGATGCCTTTCCTGATGTGCAAGCTGTTCAATTCCATCAGAGATGTAGGGTTTTGAACTCAGCACTGACAAAAAGCTGGATGGTCCCGCTCTTCTTTAGTCATCTTTAGTATTCTTTAGTTTAGAGGACACAGCGTCCATGGTTTCCAAAAAGAATTTCACATTTCAATTCATCTGACCACAGAACAGTTATCCACTTTGCCTCAGTCCATGTTCTATTGTGAATAAAATATGGGTTTGAGATTTGAAAATCATTGCATTCTGTTTTTACTTACATTTTACACAGCATCCCAACTTTTTGGAACTGGGTTTGTAGATAACAAAACTAATGAAAACCAGTGAACTAAGAGCAGAAGAGAAAACTAAACCAAATTAATAACAAAGGCACACTGAGAACTGAGAAAAAATTGCATGATGTAAGAGAGAGACAGGGGGAATTTGTGACAGAACACATTAATATAAACCTGTGATTTGCCTTTTAGTCAACACTACTGTCAGAGCTACTGTTACAGAATATCAGTCAAAACCTCCTAACCAATTAGAATTGAGAATTCAACAGCACTGTGGTATAAACAGAATTAATTATTCTGTCAGTTCTCATAGAGTAGGAGGGGACTGTTTCTATAAACCATTATTCCATTCAATGCTGTAATTTTTTACCAGCTATAATTGCAACATTCCAATAACCCCAACACAATCCATCACTTTAAACAGAGTTTTTGCGTATTCAGTATCAGTGTTACTTTATGCACTGTTCCTGTAGTTGCTGTTTCATAAGAAGAGGGGGTCACTGGGTATGGTGTGGAGACTGTGGAGTCTCCCCATTCATGGGTGATGGTGGGTGTAGTGAGGGTAGGTTGGGAATGTTTGTGCTTGTTATGACATGATATATAGTACTGTTCAAAAGTCTTAGTCACAGTCATTTAAAAAAATTAAATAAATTAAAAAAAAAAATTTTATATATATATATATATATATATATATATATATATATATATATATATATATATATATATATATATATATATATATATATATATACAGTGCCTCGCGAAAGTATTCGCGCCCCCCCTTGAACTTTTCAACCTTTTGCCACATTTCAGGCTTCAAACATAAAGATATAAAATTTACTTTTTTGTGAAGAATCACCAACAAGTGGGACACAATTGTGAAGGTGGAACGAAATCTATTGGATATTTTAAACTTTTTTGCAAATAAAAAACTGAAAAGTGGCGTGCGCAAAATTATTCGGCTCCTTTACTTTCAGTGCAGCAAACTCACTCCAGAAGTTCAGCGAGGATCTCTGAATGATCCAATGTTGTCCTAAATGACTGATGGTGATAAATAGAATCCACCTGTGTGTAATCAAGTCTCTGTATAAATGCACCTGCTCTGTGATAGTCACAACAGTATTACGGACCTGCCTGGTGTGTTCCTTGGTCTTCATGATGCTCTCTGCGCTTTCAACAGAACCCTGAGACTATCACAGAGCAGGTATATATATGTATATATATATGATTTCTGTTATAGATGTTTATATTATGACTTCTGCATTACTGAGTCATTAGAAAAAACAAAAACAAACTTTCTAATAAAAACTGCAAAAATACAGGTTCAACCTATTATAAGTGTAATCAACGTGTGCAGTAGTAACCCATTTGGAAGTTTGGACAGATATCAATATTGTCTGATTTAAAAAAAAAAAAAAAAAAAAAAACATTTTAGAAAAACCATTTTAGATTTCCAAACATTAATTTTTCAACAAAACATGTTTGTAGGTCAGTAAAGAAAGTAACACATTTCATAATACACCACGTTTCAGACAACAACAAAAACAGAAGAGAGACGGTTTCCAAAAGAACTGCAAGATGCTTAGTAAAACTTACCTGCCAATCTCCTTATAAAACCTCAACACTACTGATGCATTTTTAAAAAGCAATGGGTTGTCACACCAAATGTTTTGACTAGTGTTTGACTAGTGGTTTAGGGCGGCTGTGGCTCAGGTGGTAAAGTGGGTTGTCCGCTAATTGTAGCGTTGGTGGTTCGATTTCCAATCCACATGACTCTACATGCCACCTCTGCTACCATTTTTGTGTGTGTGTGTGACAATGGGTGAATGAGACACATTGTAAAGCACTTTGTAGAACCTCTAAGGTTAAAAAAAAGCATTATATAAGTGCAGACTATTTACCATTTATGCTGCCTCATTATCATCAACGAAGCTTGTGCTTGTGAATATCTGTTCGGATGTAAATGTGCAAAATGTGCTGTAAATATGCCCGGTCAATGAAGTGTGCGAATGTGTAAATGTTTGCATTTGGCCCATTGACACACATATACAGCACAAGTCTATACTCGTTAATTTCCCATCAGTTATGCATACAGGCTACTGGCATTATAGTTTAGAATATATATATATATATATATGTAATAATAGCTTTCAGCTAGAGATGTAATGGTATGAAAATTTCATATTCAATTCAATTTTATTTGTACAGTATAACACTTTTAACAATGGACATTGTCTCAAAGCAGCTTTACAGAAATATATAAACACAGGATACAGATTTTAAGTGTGTGAATTCCCTATTATTATTATTATTATTATTATTATTATTATTATTATTATTATTATTATTATTATATATTCCCTATCCCTATTGAGCAAGCTGGTGGCGACGGTGGCAAGGAAAAACTCCCTAAGACATTATGAGGAAGAAACCTTGAGACGAACCAGACTCCGAAGGGAACCCATCCTCATCTGGGTAGCAACGGATAGTGTAAAAGTAAAGGAAAGTTCATTATAGTTTTAACATGAAGTTTGTTTGACACATATGATTATAGTGACCAAAAATATCAAGGTTATCAGTATCACAGTATTGTTCAAATGTGCTGAAAATGTACAAAGAGTACACACACTGAAATCATTTAAAGAGGTTTTAAGTTTGACTGTAAAGTGATGGATGGTTGTCACTAGGCTTGTTGCGATCATTTAGTTCAGTTAGAGAACATGGCGGAAGGCAATGACAGCATGCGGCAGATTTTCCTATCTTCCAAAAGGACCA